GTAACTAGCCAGATAAGTTAAATAATAAACAATTTTGTGCAATTATTTACCAAGGTGCGTTCATAAAAGAATGCGGATAAACTGCCAAATTTAAGCAATTTATGCCTTTATCACTTTAGATGAAGACCTGTACTANACAAACGCAGTACCGCGTATACGATGGTAAATAAATTATACAAAAGCGCAAAACCGATTTTTTCAGAACTGTGGAATGGTATTTCCTTTAAACCTACTTGCTATAAAACTATTATTATTAATCTTAACTTAAATTAATAAAGTAAACAGCATTGGAAAAATAATAACCAAATCCCTTTTGTATTGTACATACATGACGTGGTATTGGATTCCGCGAGGTATTTATATATGTACTATCTGAGTATATATTCATTTGAAGTAGTCTTTAGCCGACCATGTATAGTATGTATTCTGTATATTATAAATCAAATACATACATATGTAAGTTATATTAATTCATTCATTCCAAATATTCTCACTTGGTTTCACTGATGAGGGTTCCACTGTTGCTGCTACTCTCCTCAACCTCGACAGGTGTAGCTGGCCTATGTCTTATACGAGCCTAATTTAAAAGTTTTTTGGAAATACATATTATGCAAAATAAAACCAAAATTGTGTATTTTTTGTTCACTTATCCATAGCAATGAGCCCGTATTAATTAACTTGAAACACCAATTTTGCGCGAAATTCTATTAATTTTTTGCGGCTTTTTAATAACTCTCGTATTATTCAAATGTCATTTCAGGTACATACTAGGGGTCTTCATCAAAAGTGATACACTGTGGATAAACTTGATAAAATGATAAAATTATCATTTTGATAAATGAACTGTCACTTTATCCAACGATTTTGGTGGATAAATGTATGAATTTCAGAAAATTTCAACCCTGGCAGACTGCCAGGTGGTTGATTTTGCTACGAACACATAAAAAGCAAATTAGCAAAATGGACGAGGTAAGAATGAAACGTAACTAGCCAGATAAGTTAAATAATAAACAATTTTGTGCAATTATTTACCAAGGTGCGTTCATAAAAGAATGCGGATAAACTGCCAAATTTAAGCAATTTATGCCTTTATCACTTTAGATGAAGACCTGTACTATATAGGTGTGTGCAAAGAACATAGAAATGGTGTAACTGCCGGGCCGTTTCAAAAACTTGGCGATTGGTGGCTCACAAGCATGAATATGTTCCAATCTCAAACCAAATCGTGGTTGTCTCAACTAAGATTTGGTAACTATGACTAAACCATGTGTTGAAAGAAAGCTTATCTGCATTAGCAGAGCTTAATAACATCCTTTTATGAACCATACCTTAAGTTGAATGGAATTTGTAGAAATATGCTTCAAAGAAATATTTATTAGTATTAACCAAACCCTTCAACTAAATTAACGATTTGTTACAACCTAGATGAATATTAGAAGCTTTAATATATTTAGTTATAATTACCAACCCATGGTAATAGTTCCCAATCCTTGGTAACAGTTCCCAAATATTGTCGAAATTCGGGAACTAAATAACTTTTGTTGTTGAAACTAATCGTTTTTCTCAGTGTAGATGATGGTAATATTTTGCTGATCATTTAAGACAACATGTTGTGTGTTTAGAATTTGACAGATAATGTATCAAGCCGTTCAGAAGACGCATTCCAATCACTGATTTTTTTAGCAACGGTTGCGCTCAACTGCTGCGCCTTCTTAACCTACCCAATATTATCCAATCAAGGTAGTCGTTTTGTAATTATTAACAAATATACATTTGTTACAAGTAAAAGTCTCAAGTAAATTGCAGACTTTCGTGAACTAGATATTTATTTCGCCATATCCAACTATGCCACTTGATCACTATAAATCATGGTAATTATAACTAAACCTTTTTCTGGGTGTACGCTTTCTACTACGGCTTTCTAAAGTTTTTTTTTGTGAAAAAAGAGCACAAGGCAACCCATGTTTACAACAGAAATTTTTTTCTTGACTGTTTTCTTGAGACCTGCTTTCTGACTTTTATATGGGAGAACATCTTTTCGAGGCACTCTTACCTATCCACCAGAATTAAAAGAGCATGCAGGTAGTGGAAATCCTTATACTTTTTCCCCCAATTGTGTATGTTTTTTTTTTCAATTTTATAACGCCGGAGCTGATACACAAAAAAAATGTGGAAGAGTCTAATCTCTATGCCTTGCACATTATTATTGATAAGCCTTTAAATCTCAGTGAAATAGAGGTAAGAAAACTTATAGCTATTCTGTTTTACATGTCAGTGATAAAATATTGTAACGTTCCCCTCTATTGGTCGGACAAAAATGGTTTTAATCCAATAAAAAAGCCAATGAAAGACAACAGATTTGAGACAATTCTCAGATGCCTCCATTTCAATAATAAAGAAAAAAATGTATCCCGGGATCATGGTGAACATGCCAGATTGTTCAAGATAAGACTTATTATTGATTGCCTAAATGAAAAGTTCGGGGCTTTTCCCATGGATCAAAGATTGACCATTGATGAACAAATGCGTGCTACGAAAGTATCTCATTTCATGAAACAATAGGGGTATTCTCCAAATCTTGCAAAGCCATTGCACGTAGCACGGATTGCATGGATTGCATAACTTGCAAACACACAACAACAAAATACATGGGAAACGACATTTCCTATCGCTGCAAAATATGCAACGTCGAAACCCATGTATATATTTTGCAAAATAGCATAGCAAGATATATGCGACCCTGTGCTAGTTGTTTTGTTGTTGGAATTGCTACATATTTCTCTCATTCCTCTCATCTCGCTCACTTCATTTTTTTCTGCTGTCTCTTGTTATTGTATTTGATACATAATTTCGCTGCTTGCTACCCATGCATTCTACCACTTTGCAATGGGGTGCTCTCGTACTCTTCGAAATTTGGGATAGTATTTTTGCATTTCGTGCAATACGTGCATCGTGCAAGACTTCGAGAATACCCCTAATATCTTCCAAAAAAGCTGCATAAATAGGGTTTTAAACTATTTGTCATGTGCAGTGTCAACAAATTCGAAATATACACCGGGGAAACACATAACCATCAAAATTATGTACCAGATTTAGGACCAATGGGAAATATCGTCGTTCGGTTATCCCGTAGTGCTCCTAGAAATTTCAACCATATTTTGTACTTTGACAATTTTTATACGACAATTCCGTTGGTCCCCCATTCTGCTAAAAAAAGGAATTTTTTGTCTAGGTATCGTCCAACCAAATAAATAGGTAAATTGCAAGTTTATGGACAAAAAAGTCATAATGAAAAAATATTTTCCTCGCGGTTTTTAAGAAGAACAAGTAGCCAACTTGGAAGGTGTTAAATTAGTGGCTGTTACCTGGGAGGACAACAAAGTTGTGACTTTCCTGTCATCGTTTGTTGAAGCAGGAGCCGTGTCTAAAATTGGAAGATTTTACAAAGCTAAAAAAAAAAGAAAATCAATGTTGCATGCATGATTATAAAAGATTACAATGCACATATGGGCGGAGTGGATCTGATGTCCATCCAGCTGACAGCTTCATTGGCAGATACCGTATAAGCACGAGAAGCAGGAAATGGTATCTTCGTATTTTTTACCATGTCATTGATATGTCCGTTATAAATTCGTGGCTTGTTTATAAAGACCTGAATGGTGTAGAAAACCTGAATTTATGTCAATATAGACTGAAGTTATCGGCCGTTCTTGGCAATCTTGGTCGTGCTTCCGAAACCTCCAACAGGCGTGGGAGACCTAGTGTTGGAAGCAGCGTTGAAAAGGAGCTTCAAGCAAAAAAAAGGCTATGGATCTGCGATCAGATAATTTTAGACATTGGCCAGAAAATTGCCCTCGTGGAAGGTGCAAAATGCCTGGATGTATGGGACACACACAAACCAGCTGTGAGAAGTGTGGAGCCTCACTTTGTTTTAATAAGACTAACCCTGGCATTCAGTAAGCGGTCTCTAGTCACTAATAGTGACTTCTGGTGACGAACTTGGATTTTGAGACTATTTGGTATTCAGTACGCTTTCTCACGTCTCTAGTCTAAAAAATAAGTCACTAATTTGTCAGCCGGCTAAGAGCAGGTCACAGAAATAAAAATATGGAGGAAAGGATAACTTCTTTCCATTTTATTAAAACAAAAAACGCAAAAATGAAGCGAGGAAATTTGTTCAACAGCAATTTCATTAGGAAATAAACCCAAATTCTTTAATAGTATGAAAATTCATTGAAAAAATAATAATTTTTTTGTTTTTAAAACATTTAAATCTAAAGATTATTAAAAAAAAAAAAAAAATAAAAAATACTAAATAAAAAATTTAAAAATCCTCTACGATCGAGGAGACCTCGAACCAGGACCCTCTCGACCGGCAGCCTAATGCTTTGTCCTTTCGGCCATTGCGTCTCTTTGCGTGCCGCGGGCAAAAGAGATACATAAATGCTATCAGTTCACTGTCTGTGTTTGTTTTCACCACACATTTTTGGTGAACTTTTAGTGACTCTCTCCCACTGAATACCCAAATCATCTCAAGGCACAAAAATAGTCACTAATTGCTAATCTCAAATTTAGTGACTTGATATGAGACTGAATTACTGACTCCCAGGGTAACAACCGTTTCAAAAATTGTCATACTTACTTAAATGCATAGTATTGCAGATATACAACAGAAATATTTTTTTTTTAAAGTCATTAAATAAAAGAACATTCGTTTGTTTTCGTTTTCATTGTGTGGTAATAGTTTTTTTAAGAATTAAGCAAAATAAAAAAAACACAACGAATACTTCAATTATATAATAATACAAAGATAAATTAATTATCAAAAGCATTGACTCCCACACACTGAAAAAAAGTAATACCAACTCTCAAAAATTAAAATCGATATTGCGAAAAATAGTTTGAAAAACCGCATAAATTCAAATCCGCATAAAAAAGCGCATATAAAAAGACCTTAGTGTATTACAAATATTAATTATATTTAATCAAGATTTATGTACTTACAATATACATTGTTGCGGCACTCGCATTGGAATTTTAGCAAGCCGACAAACTTCTATATATGCAACTGCAGCAGTACAGTATCCCTTGAGTGATGAATGTCCTGAATTACCTTTATTTGATTTATTACCTAATTCCATACAAATGGTTATAAAATGTTCTGGATCCACAAGATTTGCGCAATGTGTGAATGATGAAAATAATTGTTGGCATATTTCAAAAGGCCCCGTAAATTTAACTGTCGACGCCTTCTTCGCTCTTTTTTTATTACAGATATTTGAGTTCCAAGCATCAGTAAAAATATCATTCGATTTAGCAATGGAATTAGAAGGTGTTATGAAATCGTCAAACGGCTCGTTATTCATTGTGCCTAGGATACCAGCTGTTCTGCCAAAATATTTGCCACTAACTTCAAACCAACACATGTCAAATCGCATGTTGCACTCCAATTTGTATCCATCCACTGAATGTATTAATAGCATATTCGAGTCCCTTTGTACCAAGATATTGTCGAGCTTTGCAGGCAACCATGGATTTAATATGCCATCAATTATCAATGCCTTTAAAATATAAAATAACATTATATTCAACAAATAAAAAACAAATAAAATAACTAGTAAATATATAAATATACTGTGATTATGCTTTATATATGTATATATATATGTATAATAGAACGTATCAAAATGTATGGGCCGAAAACAAGATCAATTTAGTCCAAGCGATTTTGAACACTCACTAGGAGAGTATTTTAGGAAAGTAAACAATTATTTCGGCGCCCTGTAAAATATGTCTGTAAAGTTGGTGTACGGTATGACCCAAAAAGACAAAAAAAGCTGTTCTGAGGACCTTTTCAATAGTTCTAGAGTTCCTAAAAAGGAAACCAAAAGCTCTGCAAAATTATGCGATTTTTTTTCAAGAAAGTTGAATGTTTAAAAAAATTAAAATTAAAAGTGTTCTGAGTAGCTTTTCAATAGTTCTAGAGTTCTTGAGAAGGAAACAGGAAGTTCTGCAAAATTACGCCGAAAAAACATATTTTTCCAATAATTCGAAAAAGTTAAAATTAAAAAAATTAAATCGAATTAAATACTGTTCTGAGGAACTTGTCAAAGGTTGTCTTTGATCGACTTGCACACACGCGACATCCCCCACTTGCACACAGCGTCGACTCGTAGGTGTTTAGTTGTATTGCGATTAGCATCCCCCTAATAAAAGGGGCCTCCCCGTGGGGACACCTGGTAACGCCTTGGCGGCTAATTCGAGTGGCGACCCCTCCTAAATCCCTACACCTATGCTTCCCTTTCTGACCAAATTCCTTGCCAGTTCTTCCCTCCCTTCTCTTTTCAGGGCCGGATAAAGGTGTCATACGACCCGTGCCGAAGATCAGCCTGGCTGGGGCCCTTCATCAAGCCCAGTCGCGAAAGGAGTGCTCCGGATACCAGGCGACCTTCAGAGCCAACTAGCCTTACCCGCGTACAGCGGATCTCTGCCCGGGCGGACGTTCCCCTTCTCCGCGTCTCGTGGGACAAAATATGGAATCATCACATCATCACATCACATCACAAACTTCCTACTCCAGTACGGGAGTCCGGCGCTCCGAAACACTCACTCAGCGAACAGCTTCTGGCCGCCCACTGGGGGTGGACCCAGGAACATGGTGACCTGCGATAGGGCCAAGGACTTCATTCGAACTGACCCTGCGAAGGCTACCCACCAAGATCGACGTACCGCGTCACGAATCCTCCGCCGCCAGGCCATCTCACTGATTAGGGAGGATCAGGTCTCGGAGGAGGACTTCGTGAAGGTACAAGAAGACATAGAGTGGGCTAAGAAGATTATCCCGGACTTCGACCTTAACTTATACGGGAAGACTGATGCTGCAAAGCGTCAGAGATCCGTGGAGGAAGCCCCGGCACTGGCACCGAAAAGGGCCAAGACACAAGGTGCCTGGACTCGATCTTTTGCGGAGATAGCTAAAAACCGATAGGTTATTGGCGTTATGGATGAGAGCGACGAAGAAGGCAGGATCCCGAGAAACCAATGGAGGTGGGTCGAAGCCGCTTTGGCGAAAGTTGACTTGCAGGTCAAGAGGGAAAACCCTGGACCACCTCCGTCGTGTACGGACGCGGGCTGGTTCCAGGGGAACGTCAAATTGATAGCCTGTGACGACAGCAGATCGGCAGAGCTGTACAAAGCGGCGATTAGCAGAGTAGGGGAGGTGTTTCCGGGGGCCCGCCTAAAAGTTGTGGAGGCCAGGGACATCCCATCGCGTCCCAGAGCGAGAGCCTGGGTACCCGTTACGCCGTCCCAACCTGTAGATATCTTAGAAATGCTGCAGGAGTTTAATCCCACCATCCCTACACACAACTGGAGGGTTGTTAACCCAGAGCCAACTGAGCGAGCAACGATGCAGGTAGTCCTCCTAAATGACGAGAGTCTGGAAGCACTCGCAAAAAGCGACTACAGGGTGAGCTATGGCTTTTGGAAAACAACGCTAAAAGTTTACAAAACTGACACCGAAGCCCTAGTAAACCTTGCAGCCTGTATAGGGACGGACGAGCCACCCAGCGACCACGAGATGGAAGACGACGACCAAGCAACCGAAGAGCTGGGTGGGTACGCCTCATCCAGCTCCGAAGTAGGTGAAGCCTTACAGAGGCTTTATACAGAGCGTGAGCTTCTCAGCGATGGCGAAGCCAACATGGCGGTGGTAGAGAGGAGAGATTCGCGTGATGAAGGTACTCCAAATCAACACCCATCACAGTAAAGCAGCATCTGCTGCGCTCCTGCTTCAAGTGTCTTCAGGTGAAGTAGACATCGCTTTGGTCCAAGAGCCATGGATCACTGGTAATAGGATCTGTGGCTTGCGGACCCCGAAGTACAAGCTATTCAGTGTTCAGGGTAAGGGAAGACCCCGCACCTGTATTTTAGTCAAAACTAATATAAACTCTTTTACCCTACCACAATTCAGCACTGAATACATCACCACGGTAAGCCTAGAAATAGAGCGAAGAAAATGCAGGCTGGCCTCCCTTTCCCACTCACAGCACTAATGGAGCTGGTTAAAAATACAAACCCGATGGACACGATGCTACTGCTGGGAGGGGACGCAAATGGCCATCATAACCAATGGGGCAGCATCGACATAAACGAACGAGGTGAGTCACTTTATAACTAAGCACAAATCTGGCTATTTGCAACACGGGAAGTGACCCTACATTTATCACAACCAATCGAAGGGAAGTTCTTGACATCACCCTCGTTAGTGAATCTTACAGTAATCACATCTCTGCGTGGAGGCTCCTAAAAGAGCACTCTTTCTCAGACCCCAGGTTCATAGAATTTAGCATATTAGACTCGCCCCCTGTCTCTAAAGAGATACGAAATATCAGGAAAACTAATTGGGGGTATTACAGAAAACTTGTATATAAGAACCTACCTTCTGAACCATTTAATGCACCAGAAAGTAGGGAGGAACTTGATCACCTTGTTAGCTTTTTTGCTGAGAGTTGCGAGACAGCGCTTATCAAGGCATGTCCCAAGAGGAAAACCAGGGAGGCCTCTCTGGTGGTCCTCCGATCTAAATAAACTTCGAAAGAATTCAGGAAAGCTTTCAATGCTGCTAAGCGCGACGCCCTAGTGACATCTTGGGCATAATATATATCGACACTTAACTTATACAAGAAAGCCATCAGGAAAGCGAAACGCACCTCATGGAGTGATTTTTGTAGCGGGATAGAGACTACATCCGAAGCCTCTAGACTCCGTAAGGTACTCGCAAACTCACCTACAGCACCTAGCTATATCCAAAAAGATGATGGGTCCTGGACTGACTCAAGTTCAGAAACCGTTAAAGTACTCTTGAATAATCACTTCCCAGAAAGCAACGGTGGCACGTGATATGATCCAGAATCAGCAGAGGCTACACCACAGCTCATCAACGAAATCGTATGCGACCGGAAAATCTGCTGGGCCATACCTAACTTCAAGCCCTATAAGATGCCAGGANAAAGGAGCACTCTTTCTCAGACCACAGGTTCATAGAATTTGGCATATTAGGCTCAGGAAAACTAATTGGGGGTATTACAGAAAACTTGTATATAAGAACCTACCTTCTGAACCATTTAATGCACCAGAAAGTAGGGAGGAACTTGATCACCTTGTTAGCTTTTTTGCTGAGAGTTGCGAGACAGCGCTTATCAAGGCATGTCCCAAGAGGAAAACCAGGGAGGCCTCTCTGGTGGTCCTCCGATCTAAATAAACTTCGAAAGAATTCAGGAAAGCTTTCAATGCTGCTAAGCGCGACGCCCTAGTGACATCTTGGGCATAATATATATCGACACTTAACTTATACAAGAAAGCCATCAGGAAAGCGAAACGCACCTCATGGAGTGATTTTTGTAGCGGGATAGAGACTACATCCGAAGCCTCTAGACTCCGTAAGGTACTCGCAAACTCACCTACAGCACCTAGCTATATCCAAAAAGATGATGGGTCCTGGACTGACTCAAGTTCAGAAACCGTTAAAGTACTCTTGAATAATCACTTCCCAGAAAGCAACGGTGGCACGTGATATGATCCAGAATCAGCAGAGGCTACACCACAGCTCATCAACGAAATCGTATGCGACCGGAAAATCTGCTGGGCCATACCTAACTTCAAGCCCTATAAGATGCCAGGACCGGATGGAATATATCCGGCCCAGCTACAACACACCATGGAGCATACAAGGCCATGGCTAAAGACCATATTCACCAGCTGTCTAATACTCGGTTACATTTCCGGAGCCTGGACAGAAGTCAAGGTAGTGTTCGTACCGAAAGAAGGCAGAGCCTCTCATGCTAAACCTGGCGATTTTAGGCCTATCACCCTTTCATCCTTTCTACTTAAGACTCTGGAAAGACTCCTGGAGACTTATATAAGACAATCGATTAACTCAGCTCTGTTACCCAATGCACAACTTGCCTACAGCAAGGGCAGATCCACGGAGACTGCCCTCCACACGCTAGCTCAAAAATTGAGCAATGACTAGAAGCAAAGGAATTTGCATTAGTAGCATTTTTGAACATAGCAGGGGCATTCAACAAAGTCATCCCCTTTGCTATTACCTCGGCTCTGAACCAACTGCTCCTGCGCATGGAGGTGGATGGATATGGGGTAGTCGCATATGCCAATGATGTAGCGGTTATCGTACAGGGAAAATTTCCTCAAACTCTATGTGATCTTATAGAAGCTGCTCTTGGCTCACTCGTTACTTGGACCAAAAACACCGGTCTTGAGGTGAACCCAGCTAAAACAGAGCTAGTCCTCTTTAGAAGGCGATACAAAGTGCCGGCTCTTATACCACCCAAACTCGATGGCTCACGCCTGGAATTTAAACGCATTCCCAGGTATCTTGGAGTAGTTCTTGACAGCAAACTGCTCTGGAATGACAACACAATGGAACGCATCACGGAAGCTACCACGGCACTTTTCACATGTAAAAAGGCGATCGGTGTATCGTGGGGCTTCTCACCTAAGATAGTTCACTGGATCTACACTTCCATTGTTCGCCCGATTC